GCAGGAAAGTATAACTAAAACACAGCCATACATGGACATTTAAAAAAGACAATGGCTCTTATTTTTACTTCAGATGTACATTTGTAAGTCCTTCAGAAAATAAGCAAAACTAGATTATAAAGGGTTGTTTTTTTTTTTTTTTTTTTTTTTTAAATACAGGAGTGCCTGAAAATTTTCACAAAAAGCTCTGTCAAAGTCGATAGTTTCTTAGTGAATCTGGGAACTACAAATCTTTGTAACCTCGCATAGGTGACCTTTTTGGGTGGATTTTTTTTATTTTGGCTGGTATGATTATTATAAGCTGCTGCTCAGACTTCTCTAGGGTTCACAATTCACTTTCAGCCTTGTGACTTGGTTTCAATCAAGACCTGGAAAGAAGACAAGCTTCCACCAAGCGGGAGAGGAATTTGCCAAATGCTGAGTATTATTGGGCAGCTATCCAAACTGCTAAAAAGGGAGAACTCATTATGGGTGATCTCCAACTCAAAGTTAAGATCTCTAGGATGGGTGGCAATATCAGAGGGTACAAGAACAAAAATAAAATGAGACCGAGAGGTATAAAGAAAAGCGGGGGAAGGGGGTTGTGAGAAATAGAAAAGTCCTGCGGTCCTTTTAGAATATATTATTTAGCTTTGAGACGTAAGAGTCAATCACACCCATTTTAACTATAGCCCTTCCCTCTACCAGCCCCAATTTTAAAATTAGCCAATCACATACATTGTAAACCAGAACTCCTCTTATCAGAGCAAGATGCAGTGCTGAGTTAGGATAAAAACAGGTAGAGAGACTGAGCATCAAGAAAAACTAACCTGAGTACCAAGAGGAAATGGATATCATGAAGCTGAATTTCTCAATTTCCACAAATTGGCCTGTGACAGTCCCTTGTAGAAGCATAGAACTGAAGCTTAGAATACTAGGAACTGAACCTAGAACTTCACACACTTGCAAGCAGTCTACTTCCCAGCTACACCCCAAGCCCAAAACTGACATCTGAGACTTCTCCATGGAACAGTGTCTGACATGTGTGGCATACCAGTCTGGAGATAAGACCTCTACAACCCAAGCATGAAGGAAGACACATCTACCTGCAGTAAAGACCTCTTTTGACTTGGCCATGACACCACCTCCCCTGGAAAGTCACATCTCTGAGCACTTGTGTTCAGTAGTGTAGCTACTCGTGGGGGGTGAAAAAGGAAAGAAAGCCAAAGTTGGCAGGTATGTACCGTATCGGAATGGAGTTGAGGCTTGGAAGATCTGGATTCTAGCACAGATTCTGCACCCTCCTGTGTCACAATGCTTTGCTAGCTTAAGCAAGGAAGAAGTTTGTCCCTTAAGTTCCAAGGTAGGCTGTGGTGAGGATATGACGACCTGGCACTCCACACCCATCCTCTTTCTAGTGGTCTTTCCACTAAAGGCAAGAAAACTCAACACTAAATTTCTCTGGTTCTCAGCTGTGATTTGGGAGAGATGATGTTTTGGCAAACCAGATGCACACATGTGGGATATGGAGAGTGGAAAAAGAGGAGCAGCCGCATTTAAGCAATTATGAGGGTTGCCTGGTTTTCCTGTGCTGTGTCAGCAAAGTCTCCATGACCATCACTGATTTATAAGAATGAGGCGGCTAGCTATGGGCCATTTATTTTGTAGGTGCTGATGGCAGCAAGTGCACCATGATCACCATCTTTTCTGCTTATACCTGTGGTACTATAGTTCTGATTTACAGAAGAGCTAGCAGCTCTCGTACTACAGTGTGACATGAGGAGTCACTTCTGGATGGTTAACATAGTGCGCCTTGTACTAAATCCCTATTAAAAAAAAAAAAAAAACCCAGGCAGAGTACCAAGTGTGGTTCTTGCCAGACTCTTCAGTAGTATACCCTTCTGCAAAAGTAAAGTTTGCTTTGCACGTGTTTGATTCCTCATGGCAATCTGGTATTTCTAACAAAATGTAGGGATTACAAGTAACCAAACTAAGGGGCCAGAGTGGTAGATACTAAAAACCTAATCCAACTCAGCATGGTCCAATTTCAGAACACAGGAGGGAAAAAAAATCTTAACTTCCAGAAAAAGGGAAAAATAAATAAAAATGGGCTTCATTCCAGAATCTAAAAATTTTAGAGTAATACTGGAAGCTAGGAAAAAAAATTCAGCAATACCTCTCAAATTGTAAGGGAAGATCATTTCCATCCTACAATTCTGTTGGCCCAACTATCAATTAAGCATGCAAATAGAATAACGCCATTTTCAGGCATCTGTGACTTCAAAAAATATACTCCCATGTGCCTTTTCATGAGGTGTTATAGGAAGTTGTGAGATTCGCCAAAATAGTGAGATACACCTGAAGAAAAAAAGATTCAGGAAAGTTTTAACAAAACAGAAAAAATTCTTGGGATGAGGGTAAAGTTCCAAGACAATCGCTATGCAGCAGGCAGAAATCTAAATGGGAGCAGATCAGAAAATTCTGAGATACCAATTTAAGAAGGTGAAACTTCACACCACTAATGTATGTGATGTACTGAAGGGAGACTTACACCCAGCAGAGTGAGTTTAGGGGTAAATCTGTTGAGCAACTAGAATATTAACTGTAAGGAGAACATAGGCAAAAAGTAAGAACACATGTCTGAGTGGCCTGCAAAGCCCTGCAGGATTCAGCAATGACCATTACTCTTCTGACCTCCACTTATTACTCTATTCAATCTGCTTCATCCAAACTCACTTCCTTGCTGTTCCTAGAAAATGCAGACCACACTCCCAACTCAGGGCCTATGCATTTGTTCCTCCCCTGCATGAAACCCTCTTCTCCCAGATATTCAAATAACTACCCTCACTTTTCACAGGTCTTTGGGAAAATAAATTTCAAGGAGAACAGAGACCTCCCACCCAAAACTGTCACCTAAGCCTACTCTCCACATTTCCAATCTGCATCTCTGATCATTTTCTTGCCATAGCACTTATCAGCTCTCCATACTGTGTGTTTATCATTCATTATCTGCTATCCTAGCTAGTTTCATAAGGAACACACATCCCAAGCACCTGGAATAGTTGACAGCAATAAGACATCAATAATATTTACTGAAAAATAATATTGAAAAGCAATCATGGAATGCCATATAAACTTATCTCACCTGCAAATATCTAAGTATAATACTCATCCTACAAATTGTAATATTAGAAACCAAGCAAAGAATTAGTGTGCATGCATGTGGTAAAGTGAATAAGAAGCTTAGTATCCATCTTCCAAGGGGAAAAAAATGCAAAGCTGTAAATCAAAAAGGAACAATGGAAGCATTTTATTTAGATGCATGAAAGCAACCAGAAGGATGCCGCTAAAAGTGGACACCAATTTAGTCAGTTTTTAGAACTATTTAGAACTATTTGATATATACACATAATTTCAAATATTAAAGTAAATCTAATAAAAATGGTAAAAAATTAATCTCGAGATGCATATAACAGATCCAAAATTACTATACAGATCATACAAAAATGTCAACATCAACTACCCAACAAAAAAAGGATGAATCATTTTATAAATCACAATAGAGTGGCCAATAACAAAGTTGTACAACCTCAAACAGCAACCAAAAAAATGCAAATTGAAACCATGGTAAGATTCTTTTATCCTTAACAAATCAACAAATATTTAGAAGTCTGACATCATTCCCAACATCAAGATCATCATCGAGAATGAAATACAAACTTTCAGACTGGTGATGGGGCTGTACAACGTTATAAGTTGTAAGGAAAATACTTGACTTTACCTAGATAGGGTTAGGATGTACTTTCTCAAACAAGTCAGCAATTCTACTCCTAGATACTATATCCTACAGAAACTTACAGAAGGTGCTAAGTGTACAGTGATTTTTTTTTTAACCACTATACTTGTGTTTATATCAAAAAACCCGGAAACATTTTCATCTATGGGAGAATGGATGTTACATATTATTCAGAAAATAAAATACTCTCATAGTTAAAAAATAAGTGAACAAGATAAAAAATCAAAAGGCAAGTCAAAGAAATACCTACAATGTCTTCTGTGTGATTCCACTTATATAAAGTCAAACAGCAAAACTAGGAATAAGTGATAAAGAAGCAGAGGATGATACACACGAAATTCGGTACAGTGGTTATCTCTGGGAGGACACTGAGGATGGCATCAGGGAAGAGCACAAAGGGCATTTCAGTATCGGGGTAGGGGTATGTATTCTTTTGCAGAATAAAATAAAATTATGGAAAGATACCTATGACTGAATGGTACACAAAACTTGCACACATGTTCAATCGATAAAGAATTAAGTATCCTGAGGGTCAGAAAGTTTAAAGACTAACCAAAAAACAAATTAGTCACAAAATTCAAAACTCAAGTTAGGTTCACCTAACTGAAAATTTGACACTCTTTCAATTTAGAGAATCAAACAATTACCTCGGCTAACTTATGAAATTTGTAAATTTCATTCTCAAAATTAAAGAGGAGAAATCACTGGAAGGAGAAAATGCCAAAAGCTCCTAGTAAACTTCAATGTAGATGGCAAATAATGGAGAAGTGGAATCCCTGAAGAATGTGTTCCAATTATTGGAAGGAAGTATGCAACCTATATTCAGCCAATCTAGCACTAATCTGCAAGGAAAGGAGAACATCTACTGAGGCCCTTCTGTGTGAAAGCACTTTATATGCAGTACTTTAATAGTTCTCTCAATGCCAAGAATTAGGTATAATACTCATCTTACAAAAAGAAAAGATCCAGAGGGCTAGAGGAAAGAAATTCCTTAACGAGTATTGCCAGTGCCCTATCTGGCTTAGAGAAGTTCAGTTCGCCAGAGAGATAAGCATAAAATATAAGATGACTACAACAATATTACAGATATTAAGCATAGCTATACACAAAAGTGTGCAATGAAGCAGCCAAAGAAAGAATCAGGATAGACCATTTCTTCTCACTGAATCAAGATTTCCATATTCACCCAATATTCCACTAAATATCAGAGCAAATGGTTGCTTACCTATGACCAGGGTGGTAAACAGCAGCGTTTATTCCATGAGGATAATAGGTACTGAAGTTGAAACTGTGACTTTCTTGGTAGCTCTGATTTGTTCCCACACTAAATTTAAGAAGGTAAATAAAAATACCATTAAACCAAAAGGACATCATTAAATGTCAATTTATAAGACTGGGGACTGGAGTTGTAGCTCAGTGGTAGAGCGCTTGCCTAGCACATGTGAGGCAGTGGGTTTGATCCTCAGCACCACAATAAGTAAAAGTTAATGGGCCATCTACAACTTAAAGGAATCCAATTAGAACCAGTCAGCATGGGCCAAAGTGACCTAGAGTTTTCCTGACAGTGGGGATTTGAAAGTCTCACGTCAAAAGTCAAGAGGTACACCTGGACAGGACTGTATGGAAACTTCTCTAGGATCTCCAATAAAACTGGAATGCTGGAGAGGCACACAGTCCCTTTGTTCTGAGAGGATCCACTCTCTCCCTTGAGAATGTCTCCTTTTTCCTATCCCCCTTCAGTAATCTCATGCCTGTTACTCTGAGTGACATGTATGAAGTCTGCTTTGATCACAATAATGGGGGGGTCTTTGCGCTGCCTCACTGTAAGGCCTGAGCCCTGTAACATTGGAAAAGGTACAAGGGAACTTTCTTGCATGATAGCAATTTTCTGTATCTTGAGAAGGATTTGAACAGCACAAGTGTGCATTTATCATAATTCACCAGTGGGTACAACCAAGATTTGTGCTTTACAATGTATGCCATTTTTACCTGAAAAGAAAATTATAAGCAAATATCAATTCTAATTAATGAAATGCATGCTAAAGTATTTGAGTGCTGATGTCTCCGACTTACTTTGAAATACACTGCAAGATTAATAGCTAGAGACAGGGGGGGACAGATGGTCAAAAAAGTGATATAGCAAGTATATAAAATCCTAAGTATAGAATCCAATGTGAAATGTGTGTTCAACACACCATTCTTTCAACTATCGTATTTGCAATTTTTCATAACATGCTAAAAGAAAAAATACATCTGACACTAAACCAGAGAAATAAACATTGCATCAAATATGACTTCCCAAAGTACATTTTTACCTCACAAGGTAACTTCTAAGTTCTCCTCGGTAATTGATGACCAGGAGTTCTGCAGACCACTGTGCACTTGCTTTGTATTCTAAAAATATCAACCCAGCAATGGCATAGCTCAAATCACCTACAAAACTACATGCCTGTAGAAGACAGAAATTAAGTTACTAAAATAGTAGATAAAAGTTAATACATGCTTAACTGGAGGATATCCAAGACGCTGGCTTTGACACCCTAATCTAGACCAATTTTCCCAACCTCAGCAGCCTCTTGGAGATATTCACACAGGTTAAGTAAATTTCTATTCACAGGGAGAAAGGCGGAAGGGTGAGAAGGTCAGGAGGAAGGAAGGGCCACCAGACTCCGAACTCTAAATATAAGCTTTCAAGTGTTAATTTCTACTGCTAGCAGTATCCTAGGCTAAAAATAAAACCAACTCCAATTACTTCCCAGGCTATACTGCTAAATACATGAAGGTCTGAGCACCTTGGGAAGCATGCATAATGAAGTTTATTCCCTTAGAGCTGATCAGAATATGTCACTACAAAATATGCCACTTAGGCGTAGAATCATTTTGATCAGAAGGCAACTGAGAACCAAGGGATGCAGCAAAGTTCTCTGCCATCTCCTTACTGCCTAAAAAGGCAAAATTCTCTTTAGAAAAGTGCTTCTGCACCAGGAAGGGATTGCAAGTCATACCAAAATGAGTTGCAGAAACAGACCTCATTAACTAATGGAAGATGAGGGTTATTTAATTTCACATTTCCTAGGCACTTTCCCACAGTTTATAGACCTTTATTAAGATAGTATATAAGCCCCCATGTCTACTTCCTTTAGTTTTTTATGAAGGTCCAGGCATGCAAAAGCATTAATAAAATTTGTATTATTTCTCCTGTTAATCTGTCTTGTCAGTTTAATTTGCAGTCTCCCAACTACTAGATTTGAGAGTAGAGGAAGTTTTTTCTCCAACACTAAATGGTATCTCGTAGTCTAGAGCCACTCATTGAACACCTGATACATGCAAGTTCTAGTTGAGATACTATAAATATATACATAAAATTTCAATGATTTAGTACAGAGGAAAGAAATCTCATTAACACTTATGATTACACGTTGAGATAGTATTTTGAACATAATGGCTCAATAAACCAAAGAAATTTTACGTGTTTATTATAGCTACTATAAGATTTTAAAATTACATTTGAATATATATATATTTATATACACACACACCCCTTGTATTATATTCCTAATAGACTAGTCTAGAAACTAGTAATCTAAACTCCTTCATGTGGTTCTAAAGGATTTCCATAATAGAGGCCAAAGCACTTTTTCCAAGTTTTTCCATTCATTATTTTTGAATAAAAAAAAAAAAAATGTTCTCAGCTCTACCTCTCCAAGTAAGCTGAAATCTTACAAATATTAATCCTCAGCTCCTACACAGATCAACTAGATACAAATGCCAGTAGAGCCTGGGCAATCGTGTAGTGCATTTTGGTTTTGTTTTTTTTTTTCCTTATAAAACTCCCAGTTGATTAGCCAGAGTTAGAACCACTGTTCTACCTGCCCTGTACCTTCACTTGAGGAAAAAGGATATAAACTAAAAAGCACCAGATCACTAAAAAAAGATTAATAACTGGGCTGCCCTGAGAAAGTCATTTTACTTCCAGACTGGGTTTTCTAAACTGTAAAATGGGAATAATATCTTCCCAACATACTCAAAGGGTAATTTTGAATATTAAATGAGAATAGACTTAGTCATTAATATAAAGTAGCCAAGAAATACATGTGGTTTATTTTTTCCCCCCCAACCATTATTTTTTCCCCGTCCACTTCTTTCAATTTCTATCCTTTTAAAGGTAACAAACTCTAGTTGTTCCAGTCTAGGGTACATTCTGCACCATGACAGAAGAATTATAGCCAGATGCTGTGATGCATGCCTATAGTCCCAGTGACAGGAGGATGAAGCAGAAGGATCAAAAGATCAAGGCCAACCTCAGCAACTTAGCAAGACGCTATCTTCAAAACAAAAACTAAAAGGAGGGCTGGAGTACAGCACCCCAAGGTTAAATCTCATAGTAAAAAAAAAAAACTAAGATATCCTGAAATTAATTAGGAGGTTCAGAGAATGGAAGGGTGTTGGAGAGGTAAGGGAAGTTAGTCAATGAACAGATGTGGACAAAAATCAACTCTAGGTTGAAACCTTGACTTAAATCCCATCACGGCTGCCCACCAGGCCCTGTTTCTGGACTGTTACTCCAACCAATCCAGAAGCAACTATTACTTCTTGTGGTCTGACCTCTTGTCCCAAGCTTCCCCTCCTTCACTGCTCCCTCTCCTCTAGAGGCAGCAGAAGTTCAAAGTAAGAATTGTGCTTTCCTTCCCCAAAGTTTATGAAAATACAGAGCTCCAGGTTCAGCAGACATTTTCAAATTCCTACCTAGCCTTGTTGCTGGAAGTTGTGGGAACTTGTTCCAAGACTTAGTTTTTCCTTCTCTGGGTAGCCTGTGTAATGAGGCTCAAAAAACACCTTTATTTCATACATCCCTAGGTCTCAACAGTCTTGTTTTTAATAATCTCTATTTAGTAGTTACTTACCAGGTGGTTTTCAATTTGTATAATGCCTTATAAATATAAGGAATACCACATAGATATAGACTTCTAAGTTTTGGGGTTATCTTAAGTTCTTTTTTTTTTTTGGCAGGGAGGTACTGGGGATTAACTTAAGGGCACTATCACTGAGCTACATCCCCAGCCATTTTCTTTTTTTTTTTTTTTTCAATCTTTTGAGACACTACTTGCAATCCACCTGCCTCAGCCTCCCAAGTTGCTAAAATGAAACGCATGAACCACCATGCCAAGCAAGTTCATTAGGTTTTTCTGATTTATATTTACTTGTATTTCCCCTACGGTCACATGCATCCATTCAGTCACCTATACATAGAAAGCAACAGACAACTAATGTCAGAGGTTGAAGGAATATACATACCGGGGAAATGACAAACAGTTCACTTCCCATGAGATCAAATACCCTCACAGTTCCTGTGCTTTCAGCATAGGCCAGCAGTGTGCAATCATAACTCCATGCTACCCGTCTCCACTGGGGTTTCGGATCTTTTGGAACTAGAATGAAAAGAGGTGCTTTTAACAATGTCATAATGATAGTTAACATTTTAGTCACTGCAACTATAGTATTCAACTATATTACATTATCTTCTAAGGATTTCTAGAATTTCATTCAATAGAAAACAGTTCCAAGAAATCCATTTCAAGTAAAATATAAATCAAATATTCTGCCCCATTTATTTTAGAAGCAAAACCTGACACCAGAGGCCTGATGAATGCTAAACATACTCTCGTGTCTGGTAAAGGCTCAGAAATATGCCTCAAAAATAAAATAGAGCAAAAGTCTAGAAAATAATTCAAATCCAATGAGTTTGGCCCCTCTAAAAGCAAAATTTGAGAAGCTTAACAGATCCTTTAAATATATCAAATACAGATGCCAAGAAAATACAAAAAGGAATTCCATACAGATGCACACATATATTTAGAAAATGCACCAGAGCAGTTTTTAGTCAATAACTAAGATTTTTATAAGCAACACCTTAAAGTAATCCTAATAATCCAACACTGGGATTTTTTTTTCTCTGAATTTTTAAATAGGAAGGATATTAGCAATGAGGGGAAAAAGAGGTTATGAAACTCTAAACTCTAGGTTTTGTTTGAAGTTTGTGTGTTTCACTGGCTTCTATTTCCCCTCATTAGAATCTCAGAGCTGAAGAGATAGGTAAGAAACACCCTCTTGTTAGAATTCCAAATAATTCCAAATAATCAAGCGACTTAAGGTACCACCACGGGTCAAGAGCAGAAGAAACCTGGAACCTCAGCATCCTTCCTGCCCACACAGAGCACTTCTCATTACGGCATGCTGCCTCTTGGTCAGGGCCTTAGGACTGCTTCTGTGGGAGAGAAAAATAGGCCACCCCAAATCCAACCTCTTCAGCATATTTTGAGCCACTTACTCGAAGAAAACAGATTTCTACAGACAAAAGAATGGCTCTAAGAAGCTGTCCTTTTAGAGAAAAAAAAATTACGTCTATCTATAAAATTGTGTCTACCTAGCCAGGAACAGAGGCACAAGCCTCAACACCACCCTCAGTCCCAACTCCAAGCAGTATTCAAAGAGATGCCTCCCACTCGGTAGAGAAGCGGGAATTAAGTCCAGGCCTTAGCTTGAAGTCCAGTGCCAAGTAGAGACCCATGACTCTACCCCCCAGGTCAATACCCACAAACTGAGCCACTGGAACTGCATTAGCCAGGCTGCAAGTAAACTGCCTCTACTACCCTTCCTCCAACCTTGGGCAACAGGAAAAAAAAAAACTACCACCAACTAGGAAGCAGGTCATGAAAACTAGCACAGATCTTTAGTCTTGGAGCTCGAGACTCAAAGCCAAGGTAAACCCCAAAGGCCATATACCTAAATCAGAGCTCACAGGTGTAACCTCCAGATCTGTACTGGCATCAGGCAGAGAACTGCACCAGTGGGACACACTCGAGTTTTGGCCTGCATCACTGCCAGCCTTGGCGTGTGCCTGGCACACCAATCCCTCAGACTCCCAAGACCTTAAGCTGTAAAACTCGGGTATAACACAGTAGCATCAGCCTTGGTAGCCAAGGGACTGTCTCCACATCCCATCCCCTTCAGGCACCACAGCTATCCTCAAGGCCAGTGCTTGCAGAGGAGCTGCTAAACCTGCCCAACACCAGGAGAGACTTGTACCCTAGTAGGATGGAGTCATGTTTCAGCCTGCATCCCTGCCAACCCATAGCATGGGCCTGGATCACCCCTGAGACCATGCAGATTCTTGTGGCTGAGATTCAGGCACAAGCCAGCTTAGAGTTAGACTTAGTGAAGGTAGTTCTTTGTCTCCATCACTACTCACCTTGGACAGCATAGTTTAGAGCAAAATGCCATTCATTCACTGACAGTAGGACAAGGCAATCAGCACAGAACTTGGCCTTGAAATGCAGTGCCAGGATGGTGAAACATAACACTGGAGAGATCTTAACAGTCCTCACCAATAGGCTTTTGAATGGCCACAGCTCTGACACAGGAGAAGATATATAGCCCCAGTATATCATAAGCCTAACCTGACCAGGATTACCTGTGGCTAACTGCAGCCAGCTTGAGCCATAAAAAGACTCTGGTGATAGGCAACGAGAGCAGTGTAGGACTTGGGCTACCCAGTGCTGGGCTGGTCTTGGTGGATTACAGGCTCTGTGTGAAACAGCTTGGCAGTTTGGGTAGCCATAGGTGTAGCTTAGGGGCCTGGGACTAGCCTCTCCATAGTGATTCTGCCCAGAGTTGGGAGATTTCCCAGTGGCTCTAGATAAGGTGTCTGGGTCTACTACAGTCCCACAGAGAGGCTTGAGGTGATAGAGTACCCTTGTTAGGTATTCCCCCAGTTCATGCTCAGCAAAACACCAACTGCAGAACTGGTACAAAGTTGTGCCTAGATAGCTCTCTAGTATGAACAGACAGCAAACCAACAGAGTACTCAAACAAAACCTGGAGTTATGGCATCACATATTCCTTCCCAAAATTGAGTCATGAAAAGAAAATGTGAACAGACTAAGTAATGAGACTGAATCAGTAATAAAAAGCTTCCCAAAGAAAAGCCCAGTATAAATGGCTTCACCTCTGAGTTCCAAACATTTAAAGAACTAATTCTCTTTAAATTATTGCCCCCCAAAAAAAATTGAAGGAAATTTTTCCAAACAGATTCTACAAGGCCTGATATCAAAACCAGACCAGCACACAAAAGAGAACTACAAGCCAGTATCCTTGCTGAAAAAAATCCAACAAAAATGCTAACAAACCAAATTCAACAGTATATTAAAAACATTAACCATGATCAATTGGAATTCATCCCAGGGATACAAGGATAGTTCCACCCACATAAATACCACCTCAACAGAACAAAGGACAAAAACCATATGATCACCTCAAAAGAAACAAAGTAGGGGGGGAAAAAAAAGATCCTAAAATTTGTATGGAAACAAAAGGCCCAAACATCCAAAGGGGGGTGGAGGGGGGGGGGGGGGGGGGGGGGGGGGGGGGGGGGAGAAACACAGGAAGTTCAACATCCTTTCATAAAAGCAGTTAACAAACTAGGTATATGGCCTCAATATGATAAAGGTCATATACAATAAGCCAACAGCTAACATTATACTGAGTAGTAAAAGGCTGAAAGCTTTCTAATAAGTGGAATAAGACAAGGATGCCTACTTTTCAACATAGTTCTATGAGTCCTAACCAGAGCAATCAAGGAAAAAAATAGCCAAGGAAGGTGGCACATGCCTCCGATTCCAGTGATTTGAGAGGCTGAGGCAGGAGGATTGCAAGTTCTGTGACAATGATTCATTTTATGCTTTGAATATAGCAGCCCTTGCGCTCCACCATCTTGGTTTATCTTAAAATGGGCATTTTTCCCCCCTCTTCTCCCTATCCCAAATTAGCCAGTGAATCACAATCCCCCTACAGAGAACACCTTGAATGCAGACTTGGAATAGCTTCTTTAAAAACCCTCTTTTCTCCCTGATGGCAGAATTGCATCCTCTGGGACAGGAGTCCCCTGTGCTTCTCCTTTGATTTAAAAAAAAAAACCCCACACACTTTCCGTTTTCTCAAAATCATGTCCTCCTGACAATGATGTAAAAAAGGGAACTCTGCACACTGTTGGTGGGTATGTAAATTAGAACTACCATATGATCCAGCAATCCTATTCCTACCTACACATATCCACAGGAAATGAAATCAGTGTATGAAAGAGACATCTGCACTTCCATGTATACTGCAATGTCATTCATAACAGACAACAAATGGAAACAATCTAAATGGAAACAAGTGAAGAATGAATATAATGCATGTGTACATTAAAAACTATTCAGCCATAAAAAAAATCCTGTCATTTGTGACAAAATGGATGGAGATTATGTTAAGTGAAAAACAGCAAGCAAAGACAAGAACTGCATGATCTCACTCAGGTGAAATCTAAAAAAGTTAACCTCCATTTTACTTTCAAGTTTCAGGAGATCATCAGAAGCTGGGGAGATAAGAGGGAAGGAAGGGATGGGGAGAGGCTGATCAATGGGAACTACTGGGAAAAATAATTTTCAGAAAATTTGTGGCCTTCTCTGTAGTTATTTGCTATTATCCCAGGTCAGTTTTTATTTTTTTTTTTTTTTTTAACTCTTATAAAATAGCTTCCTAACTGGTCTTCCCATCTTCAGTCTTTCTCTCCCTCCACTACCCAAAGAACATTTTAAAATAGAAATGAACAAATCAAATCCTTCTGCTACTTTAAAATCCCTGATGGCTTTTTCATTCCCAACAAAACCAAGTCTCAAGGCCTCACTATACAGGAAAGGCCCTTACAGAAAGCCCTGTCGTATACGCTGTATCACACCCCTAACACCACCCACACATACCACGTCTGCCCTTCACACACATGGATGCCTTTACCTGGACTGTTTCTCTCCAGTCTTACTCATCCTTGTAAGCCTAGTTAACCTGTTACCTCCTCCTTCCTTGACACTTTGAAGCTGACTGGTCTCGTCTAGTGCACCAAATATGCCGTACATACATCTTTCATTGTATTGATCACCTACTATGTTGTTTACACAACTATCCTTAAAGAACACCAATTAAATATGCATTATACAACTGGGTTCTTTTCTCTACCTGAAAGAGGTACTGTGTAGAAGTCAGAGTCCCCTTGCCTTCAGTAATATATTTTGTATATATGAGCAAAGTATGCCAGGTAACAATGAGTTCATTTTTACTATCAATAGTTAAAAAGTATATTAAAAAATCTGAGAGGTCCTTGAACACAGGAGAGTCTAAGTAACTGTATTCGGTCCTACCAAGACACTACATAAACTAAAAAAAAGTTCTTAAACACAATGAGATTAAGATGAAAAACAGTTCCATGTCTTCAGATAGCTAAAAAGTCAAATGTGGAAGCAGACAAAATGATAAACAACTCAAAAACCTACATATGCACAGATGCTACATAAAAACCAGCAAGACGACAACTTTGCCTTAAAAAATATTTATGTGC